GAATGTCTAGATACAAAGGCATCCAAGCCAGTTTGTACCCTGGGGGAGCTGAAAAGCCAAGGACCAATGGTAGTCATTTCTAGAATTGTCTACACTCCCATTTCAGTGGAGGTTGTGAATTCCCTTGGTGCACACACAGGACACTAAAGGGAGTTGTTTTCACCCATCCTACCCTCTCTGCCAGACAGGGGCTCCCAGAACCTCTGCCCAGAGGTGGACCAGGGGATCCCGAGGGCTCAGGTACCCAGGGCCTAGCCTGATCCTCCCACGGAGCTCTGGTGATCACCCAACCTGGCTCCATTCTACAGGTGCGGAAACTGAGGTCAGAGAGAGCCCTCAAGGCTTCTGGGAGGCCACTCCAGCCCTGCTCTGCAAGGCAAGCTTCTACGGCCAAGAAGGTGTGAGGATGAAGAGGGAGTGAATTGTTCACGGTCCTGTTTCCCACTGGCTCTTCCCCGGGGAAGCTGAGGCCTCAGAAAGCAGGTTTGGGCTGGGAGGCCGGCAGAGGGCAGGGCGGTGGGCCGGGCCTACAAGGGCTAGAAGGAGCGGAAGGGGACAGATTCCCAGCTTTCCCGGAAGCCAAGGAAGGGGAAGGTAAACGGAGCTGTCCTTGGCCAACGATCACTGGCTCACCGCGCCTCCAGGGCTCAGCAGGGCCCAATGGCTTCCAGACCAAGGCCAAGGCTTCGAGGTTCCAGGCTCACCGGTGTGCCTGTACCCGTGAGCCCGAGCTCGGGTGTGGACTAGGGAGCGTGGACCCGGGTGCCAGTGCCCGGCCGGTGTCCGGGATGCTGTTTGGCCTCCACGTGAACTTGGGCGCTTCTGGTGGGTTCTGCGTGTCTCCCTCTCGGGGGACTTCCAGCCCCGCCCACAGCTAGTGGACTCAGAGGCCTTGCGTCCGCCGCAGACTCAAGGCTCCCCAAAGGAAAGCCGCGCGCGGTCCAAGGCAGCTGATTCAATCCTAGCCCGGTCGCGCTGGGGCCCCGGCGGGTGAGGTCGGGGTGCCTGCTCGGGATCCAGGAAGCAAGGGGTGGAGGGGATGCCGGCGCACAGCTCGGCACGAGATCACGGAGCAAGTCAGTTCCCTGAGAACGGCGACGGGGAGGCCGGAGGACCCCAATGCCGGCGCCCAGCTGGGCGGTCCTGGTCAGCCGCGCCACTTTCCGTGGTCGCAAACTGGAAGCCCGCGGGGCAGTCGGCCCCCTCCCGTGTCTGTGGGGCCCTCGGCGTGCTGTAAAGTGAGGCCCGAGGTCCCCGGGGAGGACAGCGCGCCCTCCCTGCTCGCGCACCCCACCGCTTCCTTGGATGTCCCACAGCCCGACCCGTGCAGGACTCCTCTGCGAGTTGCAGCACGCGGTGCGGACGGCGCAACCGGGCAGGGGATGCAGCCCGCGGGCCAGCGGAGGTGGCAGCTGTCCCGCCACGAACGACAGTGCCTCTCGGCGCCGCCGGCCGCCTAATTAGGGGCCGCTTCAGCTCCCCCGCTGCGGCCCTTCTCCGCCCGCGCCGCGCGCCCACCCGAGCCCGCTAATTGCTAAGGCCTTTCTGCACCGCCCGCCGTCCAGATGGGGGCGTCGGGGCCAGATGGGGTCCAGGCGCACAGGGGGAGCATTGAGAGCGTCACCTAAGGAGGCTGGGCGTGGTGCGGGCCGGCTGCAGCGCGGGAGCTCCGACGATTCCCGAGGCTGGCGGCCCAGCCAGAATCTGGGGACAGCCTGGAGGGGGAGGCAGCGAGGGGGGCCTTGGTGCGGATGGGGCGACCTCCCCGAGGTGGGCTCTGGAGCCAGACTCCCAGATTACAGCCCTGCCGCCTCCATTTACTGTCTCCTCCCCTCAGCGAGCCACTCACCCTCTCTGTGCCTCAGTTTCCACGCCTGTAAAATGGAATAATAGTAGCACCGTCCTCAAAGGGTTACCGGGAGAATTGAATGAATTAATAACACACGCAAAGCTCTCAGCGCGATGCTCTATACCAACTAGACTTCAATAAATGTTGGTGCCTCCTTTTCCAGCCTCCTCCGCCTATTATTAGTATCCTGAACTACCCGAGGTGCAGCCTCGCGCTGCCTCCTTGCTCCCCGATCGGCCACATCCGTTCCTCTCTGCAGCGTCCCCTCCCCCCAGTAGCCCCAGCCACACATGGATGCGGCCCTGTAGCAACAAAGCAGTCACAAGAGAGAGATGGGAAAGAGCGATGGGAGTGAGGGGTGATGCCCGTCTCTGCCCTGCCTAGGCTGGCCCGTTACTCTGACAGCGGGTGGAGGGCTTAGCCCCAGGGGTCTAGCCTATGGTCTGTCTGCAGCCTCCAAACCAAGGAGTGGCATGCTGATCCCTGCTGTTCCACAGGCACCCCTCCCCAGCCAGGGTGGGACTCAGTGCAGCAACAACTTACCCTGAGAACCGCCAGACCTGATTCTGGCCTCTCTTACAGGTTTGCAGAGACAATGACTGAAGAGCCTGTCACCAGCAAGGTCTTGAGACCTTTGGTGTAGGACCCCCGTCAAAGACCCCCACAATCCTTACTGGTACTGTGGAGCACGTGTGTGGAGACCCAAACTTGGCCCCAAGTCCATACTAAAAGAAGGACCTAAAATGAGAGGTGGGCTTGTATAGGGGGAATCTTTTGCTTTTAGTGAACTTCTAGGGGGCATCAAGGTGTTTACTTAGTAGAGGGAGTTCAGACAGATTGCTAGGTGGGTTCTGCCCTAAGGCGAGGCAGACAGAGAGCTCTCCAGCACTGAGAGTGTCTTGGGGGCTTTAAAACCCAATGCCCTGGCCTCAGGGCTTTCCCTGAGGAAAGTCTGGGAATGAGAAGGACGGGTCTTACTTGCTGGGCTGTCCCAACCCCAGATTGCATGAGTGTCACTGGTATAGTTCTTCCTACAGCCGTCCTCTCGGAGTGCGACACCTTGGGTCCCAGCAACGTTCCCAACTGAGATGTGCTTTAGGTGTGAGGCTTTGCTTTGCCCCTTGGCTTACTGCCTGTTCCTGGGATTCAGAGTTTCAGCTCTATGGGCGCTAGAGGTGCAGGACAACACCCAGGGGTTCCGGCGTGCTCTCCAACACAGAATCCAGGGAACAGTCATTTCTCTGTGTCTGCTGCCCAGTAAGGGAGTGAAGAGGTAGGACAGTGCTCTGGGGGACAGAGGCCATGGAGGAGGCAGTGCCCCTCAACCTCAAGTCAGTGGCTTTTTATGGTGCGGGAGGGGTTGGAGAGACTTCCAAAGACCTTGGGGGCCGGTGACAGACGTCTCTGGGCCCCAAGGCTGAGAGCTGAGGAATTGCGAGGGCCACGTGGGGCGTGGGGAAGCTGAGCTGTAGACCAGCGCACGAGAGAAGTTAATGCGACTGGGAAGGGGGCCCTCCGTCCCAGTGCCCTGCGGACCGCGTCTCTCCCGGGACCGTTTAGCCACCGCCTTCTCCCCTCCCCTCGCTTTCACTAGGGGTTGTGGATGCGCCTTGGAAGTCCGCGTGGTAGCATAATATTCTTTCTCGCTCTACTCCGAAGCCCAGCCGCTGGCCTGAGTCACCCACCCAGGCTGCCTCCAGTCTAAGGCCACTCTGCAAGGAGACACCTGCCCCGGGCGGACGTACGCACTCGTGTGCGCCTGTGCGCGCCGACTCGGAGTCCGAGGACGCTGCGCTCTCCCAAGTGGTGGCCTAGATCCCTGGCTGGGCGCAAGGTTTAGGTGGGTGGTTCCGGGGAGGGCCCGGAGCCTGGCTGGATCCAGGCCCTCCTTCCTTGGAGGCCCAGGTCTAGCGAGACTGGCGGCTGGACGCGGGCCGAGAGCTTGGGCATGGGGATTGTGGGGAAAGACTTGATTTATTTTCTTTCAGCAACTGCCCCTCTATGCATACACCGCGCACGCCGGGAGCCCACGCCTGCACACGCCAAGCCTTGAGGTGGGTGAAGGAAGCTGAGGCTGCGACGGAGCCCCACCCCCTACCCGCATCCCGCGGGGTCCCCTCTGTTTGTGTCTTCGTCTGGAGCAGGACCCAGCTTTGAATTCGTAACAAATTTCGTTTCAAATGGGATTTCGAAATAAAAGCTACTAGATCCCGCCCTACTCTCTTGGATTCGCGTGGTGCGGTTTGGGCGCCACCCCCTTTATTCCCCCCTCCGCAGCCCCTCGGCCTCTTCCCAGCCTTCTGCCAAAAGCGAAGCTGGGTACGAGGCCTACAGCACGCATCCCTGGGCGCCCGCCTGCTGTTTAGGTCAGCAGCCCGATAGTACCTTCTGGAGGACCTGGAAGCTCCTGTCCCCGAGCGAGCGAGGGGATGGAGCTACCCTCATTCCCGGGCAAGGGGAGTCCTCCTGAGGCTCAGGGGCGACCTCAAGAAGTGGGGTTCCAACCGGGGAAACCTTCTCCGCCCCGGGGGGCCCTAGGCGCAGGGGCCTTCCACCGGTGGCCACCAAAGACGTCGTCGGCGAGAGGGCCCAGGGCCGCGGGACCAGTCCACTGCGTCCGCACTTCGCTGCGTTCAAGGGTGCGCGTTCTTCCGTACGCCGGCGGGCTGAAAGATTGCAAAATGGTCTGTCCTCTTCCTTGATCGGGAAAGGCCGAAGCTTTTTAACTTTTACCCAGAATCTCTCTTAAGAGCCACGTCCTAAATTTGTACTGCAGTTTTGGATTGTGAGGACCCCAGTAGCAGCGACAAAACAGAGGTGGCCCTGGGGGAAGAGCACAAGGCCAAAGAGCGGCTCGCAACAGTCTTGCTCCCCGCGGGCAGTTCCCAGCACCTGACATATTGCAGTTCAAGGCCGGGGTGGGCGCCGGGGCAGGGTCGTGCACAGCGCAGGGAAGGGAGTGAAGGGTTAGCGGATCCCGCGCCAAACACTCCCGCAGCGCTCTGCCGGGAACACCGTGGCGATGCCGGTCGCGGGGGTGGCCTCACGTGGCTGGTCCTCAGCTGAAGCCCCGAGCTGGATGCGGGTGGGCGACCACCTCTGCAGAGAGCAAATGGAATCGCGGCAGGACAGGAGACCTGAGCACCCGGACCCCCCAGTCAAAGGCACGGGCCTCACTCCGGAGGCCCAAAGTTCCGCGAGCAGGGAGGGAAATTTTCACTTTCAATTAACATAATCCTCAACCAAAGGGAAAAGGAGTTCCGGATTAGGCGTTAGAAAATAAAAATAAAAACAAGTGAGTTGTGAGAGGCACCCAGAGGATGTGCTCAGAACGTGTTTTAAAGAGAATGTATGTTTGTTACGGGGGAGGAAAACAGGCAAACAGCCCTTTTATCTTTCTCCAGGGCAAAACCAGCAGAACGGTCCCCAAATCCGGCCCAAAGAGATGGAATCCTGCACCCCCTTCCCCAGGCGGCTCCCCGCACCTCCTCCCACCCACAAGGCTGGAAAACACCGGACTTACTTTAAATTTTATTTAAAATCTCAACACTCGATCATTTATTTCATTTTTTTGCAACCAAACAAGTAATAAATATTATTTAGCACTTTTTTCTTTTTACAAAAATAAAACAGATGATACACTCTCTGCAAGGGGCAGCGATCAGAGGCGGGATGTTACGTGCAGACGCCGTGAAGCCCATATTGCAACTCCGGTAGCGCCCAGGCGGTTTGCGGGAGACAGGAAGCACGGAGGAGTTTGTCATTTGTGTTAAACTGGCAAAAAGAAACCAATATAGAAGAAACCCGGCTTAGACTGGGGCGTGAGGGGGTAGGACTGGCAGTCACGTGAGCAAACAGCTCCGCAGCCCGCACTTACCTCATTACTGATATTTACACATCCAAGAAAGAAAAAACTAAAAAGCCAACAGAACTCCCCAAATAACCAAAACTATATTCACAGCAACATCCTTTGAGTTCTGTCAAACCCTCAGGTACCGAAATGACTGCTCCCAGTCAGGTAAGAAATCAAATCACTTTGTGCTCAGAGATGGAAAGAATGGGAAGGGAGGGAAATTCTACTTTAAAGTAACTTAAAAAACACCCGCACCTAAAGTCGACAGTTTTAGGTTATTCCAATCCACAAGTGGTTCTATTCTGATAGTCTACAAAGCTTGCTCATACTGTTGAAAAAGGAACATCGACAGATTTTATTAGAAAGCCACAAGCCCCCAAACCAATAGGAGCGACAGGGAGGAACGGTAACAGTTCTGAGACAGCTGTGGGTTTATCCACATACGGAGATTGGACACGACCGTAAGTGCTTCTGGTACCAAATACCAGCTTCTGACCAACTGGTACCCCTGGCCCTGGGCCAGGGACGACCCGTGAGGTCAAGGCCCGGACAGCCGCTTCTGGAGTGTGGCTGAGAGCCTCCTTCCCGCCCAGAGAGGAGGCAGGAAAGGAAGTCTCCAACGCGCCCCTCCCTCCTTTCCTCCCCGGTATAACCAAGGGCTGCCCCGGCCGTGTGAGGCCAAGTTCGCAGGGAAACTACAGTTTTTAGAATCACCTCTTTTTCGGGGGAAGGGGGATTTGGAGGAAGGGATGCATGTAGCTGTGCCTTCATATAAAACGGTGTCTACCCGAGCAGCGCTGTTTAAAGCCAGAGGGGGTTGAACCAGGTCCCGGAGCAAATGCCCCTGTCACTCCCCACTGTGCAGTGCGCGCCTCCACTGCTTCCGTTCCTGGGTGCTGCGTCCTCACCATTGCCCCCACCCCCAGCCCACGGTGCCGCGCTCCTCCTTGGAACTGAGCTCCCAGGGCCCTGCGCCGGCCAGTCCTTGCTTCCCCGCAGCCTCCGCCCCCCACCCGCCCCCTCCCGCCCCGCTCGCCAGAACGCG